ATTTCTGGGCATTATTTTTCTGTTTTTAAACACTATAAGCAATGCTGCTATACCCACCCCTATTCATGTTTTTGTATTTATATGTGATTATTTCTACAGATGAAGTCCTAAAAAATGGAACTGCTGGTTTGAAGGTGACATGCATTCATAGCAGATTGGAGCTGGGGAAACGTAGAGAAGCCTCTGTACCATTCCCAGCTCACTGTAATGACTCCACCTTGCACACTGCTTCAGGGGTGCTACTGAAAATAGGTTTTTTTTGTTCATTTGTTTAGAGTGTGAACTTCTGAACATGAAAATATCAGGTAGAAAATCATCCGAGTGTGGGCTCACGTGTGCTTTGCCCAGGATTTCCATTTTTCAGGATCCATCCTACAAAAGCATTCTCGTGAAGTGAAACGGTGTAAGTTCGGCTCTGTAATCCAGCTAAGATGAGAGACAAGGGGGTTAGCGAAAAATGTGAATTAGTGGGCTGAGCGCCCCAAGGGAAGATACCTGTAATGGTTTGACAGAATTATCAGTCACGGGACTGGAGTAGAACCTAGGAGAGCATCTCCACAGACAGATGGGGGAGGGTGGAACATCTCCCTCCTCTCCCGGGGGTGGCCCATCAGCAAGGACAGTGGTTCAGGCTTCTAACACTTCTAATTGCCTAAGTTCTCTGAGCAAGCTGCTCCAAGATGCAGAGGTTTGCAGACTGTCCCTATCTAACCTCAGGAGATGCCCTACCATCGTGGGGTTTGTTCAGGGAGTGCTCAGTAACCAGAAGGGCTGGCCGTCTTCTGGACCAGGGTAACCAGGAGTCAGCTATGAGATCCTCTGTCTTTTCCCACCCTCTCCTCTTTCCTCCTTTGCTTGGCTTGAGGCCAAACTGTCCTCTAAAGAGGAAAGTTAAGGAACTTAAATTAGGGTTTTGAAATTCAAACTCATAACAACCTTGTACATTTGATAGCAATCACCAAATTGCCCTCTGAAGAGGAAGAAGTTCTACTTCATACTTCCTTGAATAGTTTCCTTGACACCTTGATGAAACTCATTAAGCTCATTAACCTTCATTTTTGCCAATCTGACTTCTCATTATTATCCACATTTTCTTAAACAATGCTCGTATAAAAAGACATGAAAATCTCTGCACCCGTTTGTAGACTATTTGTATTTCTTCCATAAATTGCTTGCTTATGACCCGTGTCCTATTTTTAAATGGGGTATCTTTTTCTTACAGACCCATAGGAATTCTTGACACGTTCTGAATATTAACCCTTTTAATAATACAATGTAGGTGTATTATGGCTTCCACCATACAGATATTTTATATGTTCCTGTGCTTAGAACACGCTGAACCCCAGGTCCACCCAAGGTCCACCCCTCATCCTCCAGCTTGTGACAGGAAGGAGAGCAAATGCAGTTCCTGAGACTGGGCTACTAAGAGCTGTGAAACCTTGACAGCACTAGTAGAATAAGGAGACACTATTGCTGATGAACGTTGCCAAGAAGCTTCCAGATAGACTCGCATTCTTTTTTCTAGCACTGGCAGTGTTGGGGAAATCAACACAATGGTTATTTTTGTATGTAAACATGGGGCTGAGGCCCTGCCCGGCAATGGAGATGTTAGAGAAGTTAGGGTGTTGCTTAACAGAACTAAGCTGCCTTTTGCAAACAGTTTTCCCACACTGTAGGCAGAAGCAGAGTTCTGAGTGAGGAGAGACACTGCCTCCTCCCTGTGACTTACTCTTTTTGAGATGTACATGTTCTTTAAATAATTGCTTTCAGTAGATAAAACCCCAAGACACCCAGAAAACCAGGCTGGCAGAATCTTCACCTGGAGGTGGAGAGACAATGGTATGCAAAAATGATAAGCTTGGTCAAACTCAGTCTTGAGCCAGATACTATTTAAAACTGGAGAACCCAAGCCTTGAGAAATGTTAGAAAAAAAGAAAATTTCTTTTTGTTATTAAGTTATAAGGGGGTATTGAAAGGAAGTGGTCTCTTGTCACTTAACGGGTCTCTCTCCGGTCCCGGGGTTCACCAGAGGTGACCGTCCTGCGGAGAGCATATCGCTTTGAGTAGGTCTCCTCTATATGAAGTAGACAGTCCTACATTGATCATGCCAAAAAAGCCTGTCCTTGGGACAGGACACGTCACCTGTAAAAGTGATATAATATAACCTATCTTCAGGGGTTCTTTTGGCAGGACCTACATTGGGATTGAGGAAGTACTATTTTCTTTAACCTTACTCTCTACACTGTGCTGAATGGCACCCCAGGGTGGAGTGGAGAACCTGGTATTTACTTGTCCCTAGGGACACAGAGGCCATATCCTAAGAAACAATGTGATTTTAACAAAGAGATTGCATCATCCATAAGCACAAAAGAAACCTAGCAAATGGCCAACCTTATATGTACACTGCCTAAATATTATGATTTCAGGGGCTATTAAAAGAATTTGCAACTTCCAAGAGTCCTCTCCTACTTCCTGGTGCTTCCCCTCCTGCCTTATTAGAAGAAACCTTTTATACAATGGCTAAATTACATATATTTAGAGTGAAAACATTTTCCCCAAAACAACTGCCAAAAACACTATCCCAGAGAGAGCTAAAACCCTATAATCCCATCACCCTGCTTAATTCTTTTTTTTTTTTTTTTACGGTTTATTTATTTAAGTAATCTCTGTACCCAAGGTGGGGCTCAAACTCACAACCCTCCAAGATCAAGAGTCACATGCTCTTCCGACTGAGCCTGCCAGGCACTCCCAGACCATATTCTGATAACATATATCTAATAGATTTCTATGTTTCTGATAGCAACTTTATTACGGCTGCAAATATAACGTTCAGAACACACGATGACGATTTAATATCTACAGGAGTAGATGGAAGCATGGCAGCTACATGTGTGTTTACATCTCACCCTAAATAAGCACAAAACTGGACTCTAGGTCATGATTCAAACTTCCATTTTTATGTCTTCATAAACATATACTTAATGATGGAAAACGAAACAGCAATGCTGGGGTCAGGTGACTCAGCTGGTATATCCTGGTCTCAAGGAAAGGGATGGTCCCTAGCCTGAAGTGGAACAAAGTCTCACCAGTTAGTGCAGCTGAAGTATTGGATCCAGCAGAGAGCTGCTTAATCTTAGCTGGGAAGTAAAAAAAACTAATTAGATGAACAGAGTTTCTCTCATCAGTGTCACCAAGTCCCAGCTGTCCTTCATTATTTCCTCCAGCTGTGTATACTTTGTCTCCTTTTGTTGAAGCTAGGGTGTGCTTCCGTCCACAGGCAGCTTAAAGCTTTGACACACCATTGGCTTGTTAACGCTTGATTTTCCTAATCCTAACTGGCCCCAGTTGTTACTGCCAAACATGTAAGGTTTATTATTTCCTGTAACAGCAGTATGTTCATCTCCACATGAAAGAAATGTAGGTATATCATTTTTAGACCAAAATTTGCTGAGAATATTTTCAGCAAATTTAGTTTTTCCAAATGTAAACACAGCACCCGAACCGGCACCACCTCCTCGGGTTCCCCCATGCGGAAGTCAGTGCGGGGAGCCAGCGCCTGAACCGGAAAGGTGGCAGGGGCGATTCGGTGGGGCCTATGGCAGCACCTCAGTCCCGACGCGGGCCGCAGAAGCCCCTCGGGCCCCCATAGCGACACCCCAGACATCGGCTACTACCGCGTCCCCGGAAGTCAACAAACCCCTGCTTAATTCTTTATCACCTTCCACAGGAATTCAAAATTTTTGCACAGTTGCGATCATGTGCCCATACAATAATGTATCCTGCATTTGAAAAAAAATAAAATGTTACACAGCTCAAAAGTCCCTGCTCCACATAACTACCTAGACATGAGCTATCCTGGAAAAACTGATCTTGGTCTCAGGCACTTTCATGTGAATCACAGCTCCAATGTAGGCAGTATGACATTGGGCACATTTCTTAACCTTCTGACTCAATGTCTTCATTTCTAGGATGAGATTCTTCTCGCTTGCAGGATGGATGGGAGGAACAGATATGATGCATAGGCAGCAACTCACAGTAGGCAATGACTGGGAGGTAGTTTTCTTACTTCCTGAGCTGATGGTTTTTGGCCAAGCACGGTTCCAAGAATTCTTTAGCTCATCATCTATTTAAATCCTAACAACCCCTGCAGATAGGTTGTAATATATCACTTTTACAGGTGACACGAAGGAAGTACACGAGGTTAAGGCACTTGCTCAACATCACGAGGCATGCCAGTGGAATTTGAACTAGGTTAGGGTGAACAGTGCCTTCCTGGTCACTTCTATAAAGAAGCACAAATGCCACCTAAGAATAGCAGATGACCTCTCCCCTTAGCACATGACTTTGCGGATCCAAAAATCCTAAGAAGGACCGAGTGGATGAGGTATAATACTGGTTTAATTCCGAAGATCATGAACAAGAGAAGGATAATAAGGAACTCAGGAGACACTAAAAAGAGCAAAACCATCTCAAGGAAAATTGACCTAGATGGGCAAATTCCCTAAACATCGTTCACTACTCTGATGTCTCAGGAGCCACCTGGAAAATTTCAAAACTTGTGTACCTTACTTCAAAGGCAATTTGTAGATAAAGGAAGGAGATAGGCATTTTCTGAACACTCTCAGTGTTTGGATTAGTAAAACCGGTAAAGTAACAAGTGCTGTCTCCTAGGGCTATTGTTAAAATTAACACAAATACCAGCAGGTCCATCACAGATGGACTTTGTTTCAGAGCCGGGACACATTGCCGCTTTGAATTATATCCAAGTCTGTGGCTCTTCTCTCTGGGGTCATTTGACAGCACGTGATTGCGACGCTCAGGGTCCAAAGGCTGGAGCTATTAACTGAATGTTGCTAGACAATGAATTATTTCACAAACACTGAAATATAAAAAGTATTCAGAGCCATCCAAGTATGAGGACATTATTCATTTATGCTTTACTCAAGAGAGCTACTTTAACAAGAAAGAAAATGCACGTCCCACCTTCGTTCCTTCTCCCTAAAGTAATAACCTCCTCCAAAAGACAAGCACTAACACATTTGTCCTTGAAAGGCGGAGCCCAGGAATTCTGGAGCTCTGAACACCCGCTCCCTTTCTGCGAGGGACCAAAACTCCTGCCTCACTTGGTGTCACAAAAGTCCCCGGTGCGCCAAGCAAATGTGTTTACTTCTGCTGCCCGCCAGGCCGGCGGAGAAGGAGAGTACCCTGGCCGCGCCACACTTTCGCCCCGGCAGCTTTCCAAACAAACCGGGGCGGGATGGGAGTGTCTTCTTGGCTGTGGAACTCGATCCTCCTACCTTGTCCTGAAGCCACCCGCTGCTTTTCCCCGGCCCTCCCTTCGTGGTGATTTTCCTGTCCGGGACGCCCGGGAAGGGCGCGCGGCCGCTGTCCCCCCAGCCCGAAAGGTACGGGCTCGGCTGCTTTCCCGCTTCCCTGCTCCGGGGACGGAACCCCCAGGCTCCCTCTGCATTGCACCTTCCTCCGTGAACTTGGGGGCGGCCGTGGTCACCGCGCGTCTGGCGCCAGCAGCCGAGCAGGAGGAGTTTGCCCGCGGCTCCGGAGGCGCTCGGCGCAGTCGCCTGGGACCCGGACCCGGGCGCGGAGGGTAGCGCACCGCTCGTCAGGCACCTTGGACTCCCGCGGCTCCCCCGCCTGGTCCGTGGAGAAGGAATCGTGCCCGCGCCGCCCCTGACCCGGGCCACCTTCCTCCGGTTTCCGCCGGCCTCGGGCTTCGGCGGCCCGATGCGGCAGGCGCCGCAGCAGCCGGCTGGAGCGAGCGGCGGTGGGTGGAGAGCAGCGGGCCCCCAGCCGCCGAGCCCCGCACGCCTCTGCAGTCTCCGCTCCTGGGCCTTGGCCGGTAACTCACTCCCGCCGGCTTCCCTGCGGGTTGGCATTGCCCGGGTGAGGGAGACTGGGGATCGGGGAGACCGAGTTCCCCACCCTGGTTGGGGGGGCCTGGGGTCGGCAGCCTCTGAGGCTGAGCGTCGCGGGTGGGGGGGCACGCTGAATCGACAGCCTCCTCCGCGCGCCCTCGCGTGAGCCCGCCCCCCGGGGTTAGGGGCTGCGGGGCGCCGGGATCCCCGGGGCGGGAGGAGGGGCGCTGCGAGTCGAGAGGACCTGCTTTGGGACCCGCCTTTCGCTAATCTCGGGGGAGCTTGGGCACTCGCGCGCCGTCAAGGGTGGGGGCTCCTTGCAGACCGTTGTTTTGTAAAAGGGTCTATTCGCGAACGGGGGCCAGAGGTCTGGAAGGTTCTCGTCTTTTATTGTAGAAAAATTTCCAACAAACCCTCCTTCCCGCCACAGTGGAACTAGACCTAACACAACAAGCACCGAAGCGGTTTTAGGGGGAAGAGCGGTGGTGAGAAACTCGCCGGGTTTGGGCTGCCGTTAGTTTTCAAGATAACAAAGGAGCAACTTGTCATTTTGAGGCCCTTGCTCTAGGGTTCTCTGGAGAACTCAGCCTCTTCTGTGCTGTTATTTTGGCTTAAAAGAAAATCTACAGACGATTTCTAGAAACTAAAAACAAACCCCAAACACCTTTTTATAGGATCTTCAGTAGAGGGGGTAGGGAGAGAGGTGGGAGGGGAGGAGGTGCTTGCTACTAGAAGGTAATATTTAAAAAACTGTATGTGGGAGAGGGGATGAGAATAACATCCGTGGATGCCGTCAGAAACCACATAAACCGCAGGTTCTAAGCTCAAGTCACGTGCATCCGAGTACAATGATTAGGTGGATAGTTAAGGGAACTGCAGGAAGGCCAGAAACCCCTTGCCCTCGTTGGCTCTTCTCCCCATTTTCACACTGAGGTTTAGGTTTCTGACCGCTGCCTATGCTATGCTAGCCTGGATGTTTGACTTTCCGGTCTTCAAACTTCCTCTCCCAACTGCAGACGGTGGCACTATCTTTTTATTTACACGGAGATGTTAAGTATTTGGGAAGATCTGCTCAGGCTGCCAGGTTATTTTCCTTTTGAAAGCAAGCTGATTTGACATTTGTAAATTGGTTTGTGTAGCTTCCTTCTCAGCAAGGACTGCTTTTCACACCCAGATATGCAAAAGAGACAGATTGTTTTGTAGTCTGTTGTTGCTGAGTAAGGCCAGCTGCCTCAGAGACACTTTATTATTATTTTTAATTTATTCATTTTAGAGAGAGAAAATGGGGGAAGGAGGGGACAGGCAAAGGGAGAAAAATCTTCAAGCAGACCCCCTGCTGAACACAGAGCCCAACACTAGGCTCCATCTCTGGACCCTGAGATCATGACCTGAGCTGAAATCAAGAGTGGGACGCCTAAGCAGCTGAGCCACCCAGGCACCCTGACTCAGAGACACTTCAGATAATGGCAACTTTGGTTTATAAGGAGAAAACTTTTTCAGAAACTGATTGCATTACCCTGATCTGGCTTCCCGAGCCTTCCTTAATTGTTCATGTGGAGGAGGAGATCTTCATTCCTTGCTCAGTGGGGCTTCTTTCCTGGAGCAATATTTTTACCATAGTCCCTGAATGTCCCAGTCCCAGATTGTGTGTCTCCTTATAAAGATGCAATAAAATGAGACCACATTTCAGTAGATTTGTTGGAAATATTCAATTTGTTCTTATGCCCCAAGTCCATAAAAATCTTTGAGGCTCAGAAAGGAATAGATAGTAATTGGCAGAAGAATACCATTAAAAGACATACTGTTAAAACAAACAAACAAACAAACAAACCCAAAACGTAAGTCTGTTCAGTTGTTATCTTCTTTTGGAGATATTTCTGTGATCCACATCGTGTGGAATACTATAGGAGAGAGGTGAAATATGCTACATTTCCCATATGTCTCTGACAAACATCCTCTGCTAGCCATGCAAATTACCACTTGGCTTCCATCCAGGGTTGGGGGCCGGATAGCTATTTAATATACATTCCAGGTGATGCATACCAAGGCAGTAAGGAAAACATAAAACTCATGTGGCACCCATTATGATCCCCAGTGTGTTCACATGTGTTATTTTATTAAATCTTCCCACCAACTGTATGAGACAGGAATAATTAGCTCCATTTCATAGTTAAAAAAAAAAACGAAGATTGTCCCAGCGTAAGTGACTTGGAATGGATCACATGAAAGTCTGCTTAACCTCTGCCTTACACCATCCCAGGAAACCTCCATAGCACACATTCCTCACAGATTCTTCCATTCTTTGTGCATATGGTTCACCTTTGTCTTGCACACACTCAAGAGGATATATATATCCTCTGATCTGAATATACTTTCTTAACTGCCCCTCAGTCTGGGCTTCTTGAACAGGGGGTCTGTATACTTTGCCTTTCCTTCTGATAGCTTCCGACTTTCATCAGTTAGGTATCTTGTCTTTGTATCTTTGATGTGCCACTTTGGTGCGCTGTGTCTGGCCAAATTCAGGAGGATATGTTATCTCCAAGGGATTGTGTTCCAAAAATTCTTTTCATTCTGAATATATTTTCACTGAAGTTCCTATTCAACCTTCTTGCCTGGAAGAAGTCTTTCCAGGGGTACATCCCTACGCTCACAGCTTAAATGAACCTCTCCTGTTTATTCTAACTACAATGGATAAAATAGCACACATCAGAATTTCCAGGTGAACCCTTTATGGGTTAAAAATAAAAATATATTTGTCATTACACTGTATGTTAATTATGCTTCAATAAAAAATTATTTGATTTGGAGTAAGCTTGATGTATAGCATACAGTGGATGCACTGGGCACTCCAGCGTGTCAGTAGGAAACTGTGTTTCTGGTTCTGTATTAGGTTGTTAGAAGCACTGTTCCCTCATCTGGTGAGGTAGCAGGAGCTCTTTCCCCTGATGGTGACTCCCAGCACTGACTAAGCAGTGGGGTCTTAGACTTGATCAGGAACTCGGCTGCTATACAGTCAGGCTAAGAAGGGGTAAGATTCTGGGGATGAGTTTTAGGGTAAAAGAAAGTAAGGAGCAGGAGGAATGGAATCTCTGTTCCATGCTCATATTTCCCCTTTTTGGAGACTTTGTCATCTGCGGGTGGAGGTGGTGGCCAGCTTACCATTTACTGTCAGCCTTCTGCATCGACCAGGGAGGGGCTTTCCTTTTTTTGGACTACTGGGAAAGAGAAGAAGGAAAGCACCCAGCCCTTGGGAATTTTTTTTTTTTTTTAATCACAAACACTGAAAAGCTGGGTAAAAAGATGCACTTCCCCATTCTTTTTGCCCTTATACCTAAGACACAGTGTGCTTAGTAGCATGTAATGCTGGTCTTTGAAGGATTCTTTAAACCTAGACCTACTTTTATCTGGTTGGGAGTGGAAAGATCTGTAGATGAGGAGAATGAAGCCTCCAGATGAAAATGTGGCATGGAAGCTGGAGTTGCTTGCAAGGGAAGCAACCTGCCGCAGGTTGTATGTAGACGCAGGTCTGGAGTTGATATGGTTGTGGGTCGCGGTCACTGTGGTGCAAGGTAGGGGAGGCAAGGGAGCAGAGAGTGGTTTTGTGGTAAATCCTGGGTGACTTTCTGCATAGTCATCCTTAAGGTGGGAATTGAGTTTCAACTAATGTTTACTGAGTATCTGCTACATAATAGGTGATGTAGGGGGGTAGGGCATGCAGTGTTGAACAAGATAGACAGAGCCCCTGCTCTTACAGACCTTCTGTTTTGTGAGAAATGGAGTCAATAAACAAGGAACAAATAAATGAAAAAATATCTTTCAGATACAAGGCAATACACCTCGGGGTGTGCTAGAGAGGGAGCTTCTTTAGAGCAATCAGAGAGCTTCTCTGAGGAAGTGGTATTTGCACTGATACGTGAGTGATGAGAAGCAAATGTCAAGTGAAGAGCAGGAGGAAAGGCTTTCTAGGAAGACGGGACAGCAACTGCAAAAGTCCTGAGGCATGAATGAATTGGGGATGTTTGGAGAGCTTGTAGATGGAGAGGAGTGCAAAAGGGGAGTTTGGAGGAGATGCAGTCAGCGAGGGAGTTGGGGGACAGTTTATATAAGCAAAGCCTTCAAGCCTTGGAAAGGAGCTTGAATTGTGTTTTCTTTAGAATGGGATGCCACCAGAGATTTCTAATTAGAGATTAAGTCAGTCTTCACCCAATGGGCATGGGCTTTCCTGTTTGTGTCTCTCACTTCCTCTCCCTGTCTCTCTCTCTCTTTCTCTCTTACACACACACACACACACACACACACACTCACCCTCACCCTCACCCTCAGTCAGCTTTATTTCTCTCTGTTAATTGGCCATCAGTGATTTCTCCTTCCTCACCCCAGGCCAGGGCACAGGCATCCATGCAGAGAAGCAGGGCTCAAAGGACCCTGGACCCTGGGCCTCTTATCCTCTGAAATAAATCTATATACTCACTTAGTTTGATCTTCATGCATAAGACTCTGCATCACTAGCTCTGATTTCTTAACCTCTCTCCAGATTGAACGTCCAGATATCTCTAAGAAGTCTCTGGGTTGGCTAGTGATATCTGAAACTAGATACTAAAAATTATGTTAATTAGGCAACTCAACTGCAATTGATATCTTTTGTAAGACAAGATTGTCACAAGAGGCGAAAATTTCAGTAATCCAAAGGCCTTGCGTTTTCCTGAATACCTGCTCCTTCTCTCCCAGGCTGATGTCTACATGGTCTGTTATGGGAGGTTTATGTCCTTTTTAGAGTACAGTTTCAGGGGAAATATGCAAGATTCTTGTAATATTTGTCTTGGGAATATCCTATGCCTGAGAAATTTCATTTCTATTGGTCTTTGTAGATGATCTTAGAGTAATACTTAAATCATGAAGGCTTATGTCCAAGCTGATATCTCACAGTAGCACTGGTTTATCAGAAATGAACAAGTCCCCAGCACTTTAGCCATTGCCCTTTGAC